TGACGTCATTGGTAAGCGACGGACCCCGAACACATATGGTAGGGCGAACACATATGGTACTGACACAGGCACGAAACACATTACCAGTAGAAATACATTGCTTTTAAAATCGTTCAGTGTGACATGAAAAAAGGGGGAAATCGTGTTGGTGAACACGAATCAATAGATTAAATGTTGTGGCTATAAAGGCCCGGATACACCAATCTGACAACAAAGAACTGACAGACGGACCCGACTGTTGCGGCACCTCGCGTCTCTGCCATGTGTCGCACTGGAACACACCGCAAAGACTTCAGCCGACGGCCAAGAAGCACGTACGAACTGCGCATGCGTGAGTGGCAATAACTGTCCTTACCAGCAGGCGGCGGTAGTGTGTATTCGTCATACAACCGGAAGACAGACCGCGTGATATAAACAAACAACAAATTTCGATTTCGGCCGTCGATGAGCGTCCTGTCGCCCTACTCAGATTTGTGTCCCGTCGTGTCTTTTCGGCCGTGCCGACACCTTCCGCTAGGCTGTCGGCAAAATAAATCACTCTGATTGGCTGTTCAGCTTAGTGAATCAGTGCATGAGAAGTGAAATGGAAATGAAGAAGGCACACACACTGATTCACTAAGCTGAACAGCCAATCAGAGTGATTTATTTTGCCGACAGCCTAGCGGAAGGTNCATCCGCACTTAACAACATCGGTGGAACATCTATACATCATGGGTACAATGTTTTATTATCATGAAACCGTAAAAAGAAACCGGGTTTGCCACAGGATTTTGTGTTTATTGAAGACATTTTTATGCCATCTTAGATACTGGTTGCCAAAAGGAGCTCGAATTGCAACACTACCCTCATTATTTAAATTGACCATGATACGATACGGTGCAAAGAAAATACAATTTATATTCACAGTCTGTAATATACCATAAGACTCATTTACTGAAACACATACCATGCACATATCACTTACGTTGATCAAAGCATGGAGAAATGCTAAACTACCTGGATAAAAAAATCATGAATCTACAAAAGGACCTGGAAGAAAAAACCTGCCCGAAAAACAAGCACCTAGAAAGATGATGCCTGGCACACACTTAAACGGTGGTAGGTAGGTAATTTTGGAGAAACCAGCTCGATCGCGCGTAGATTGAAAATACACAACCGAAAACTCTGCCCTTCCTTACAGAGCCCTCTCCCAACACACCACGAACCGCACACATGACCAATGCACCCGCCGCTCACATTTGTGCACCGAGATCGGAGGCTGACAGGCAGTGTAGGACCATGCAGGGCCCCCGCCGGAGCCGGCAAGCCGAGCCGGCAGCTTATTTTAGCCGGGCGTTAAAATAGATTGGTGAGGGCGTTAAAGCGCCCCACCGCGCTTGCCACAGCATGACATTTGTATGTATTTTAACTTGTCAAAGCATTTTATAGTACTTCAATGCTATCGGGGCATGTTATAGCAGCCATTCCATGGAATATACAAAAGTGTTCGGAATAATTACAGTACCCCACCTTTAAAACAAACGAATATGTAAATAATACCTAATACAAACTCTGTTTTAGAATAGATGCAACCCATCAAGATTAGAAAAAATACTTCACCCAGTTGTTTTTCTCCAATTGCTGTAAGCGGCTTCCCATACTAGCCAGTTTTATGCACTGTATGATTTCAAATGAACTTATTCTGCAGCAAAACAAAAGCCACTTCACCAACCTCACAATATGGGTTGTCCCTATACTCTCTGGCTATGTGTCCATGTCTGTGGTCTGTACAAAGTCGTTTTCGATGGCGCACTCTCAACGATGAGCTGTTCTTTTCTCAAACCTCAAAACTCAGGCATCCCTGCTTCCTGCCTGCCATCTAGTGTTGAACATGTTCAGTAAAGCTACAAATGTACCTCTTCTCACACTCGCAGGGGTGTCAAACTCAATAGTCTGCAGCAAGTCCTCAAAAAAGGTGCTGTTAGTTTTCTGAGATACTCTACCCAAGGTAGGACAACACACAACAAAGC